AGGAGCAACGAGATTCCCCTTGATACGCGATATTGTTACGCGTGTACACGTTGTAACTGTCCGGATCCGTGACGAAGTCACGCGATATGCATTATGCACGCACGTAAACGCGGCTGCGCCACCGTCAGACGTTTCCGCAATCACTCCCACGATGCACTGGCCGAGTGACGAGTACCGCTTTGTGAGAAACGGAGACGTCGATGATAGACATTGTCTCGTAGTTTTGCTCTTTCGATACGTATATGTGTATTCTCTTTTTCTCTTACTTTTTGAACACGAGAATCCGAGTCAATTCAAAATTCGATAATTTTAACGTATCGTGCGAATTGGGTTTATTCATTGTTCGTGACATTTTGTGTGATTTAGGTTAGGTTAACCAACCTCTCTCTAGGTGGCAAGTACTGTTTTGTGAAAAATCCATCGATTTTGCATATAGATTTTTGTTTTTTTTCTTGCATATTTTTTTAATTCTTTAATCTTGAAAAAAATTCGTAAAAGATAATGATAAAAATAAAAAGTAAGTAAGTGGCATATATCTGAATTAACTTTCACAGTCTCGTGAATTTCGAAAAATAATTATCATTTCCACGAGTAATTTTCTTGCGTAAATTCGATCGTAAACGCAAGAAAAAATATTTATATAACATATAAGGTTAAATTTCTCGCGTGTTCACGTAACGATGATGCAAATGTGTTAATGCAAAGGGTTAACGAAATAATTATAAACATCGTTCGCGATAATTACTATCATCTCACCCTATTATTTTTTCGAAAAATTCCTCCGATCCCTTGATATCACTTTCCGTATCGATATGATCGTAACCCGTTATTAAAAAGAAAAGAAAAAAAATATGCACATGTTTCTCGATCAGATTTCAAGAACAAACTTCCATACCTTTCATTCTCTTTCCTCACGCATACACCGCGACATTTCTCGAACTAATTAACCGGACAGATGTCATTTATCCACTTCCCTTGTAAATGATTTATCATTAGATAAGATGGTCAAGGCATGTGCACGTGTACTGCAAATATACAACAAAGATAATCGATGGTATACAATGAAATTGTAATTAATAGTGTGCCTCGTTATTTGAAACGTGTTATATAAACGTGTTTACGTAACGTGATTAACATTTAACGTAATTATTTATTTATTTATTTATTTATTTACTTTACTTAATTAGAAATACATTCTTTAATCGAAATAAGACGAGAATCAAGAATAATAAAGAGAAAATTGTATTTGAGGTTAGAGCTTTCTCGGTTTATGGAATAATAAAACACACTCGGTAATAAAATACTCGTGTATACGTTACACAATATAGATCATGACGCGAAGTGAGATTAGTGGTTCAAAACAAGACGAGCATCAACAACAGCGTACCGAAGAAGAAAATCATATTTCATAATTTACATGAATAACCTGGTTATTCCAAACGCACGTACAAATCTAACTCTCTTTATTAATATTTTCTCGGTTCAGCCAGGTGTTGTGTGTTCCACAAAAGCGTAGAAAACGTCGTAGTGTCACGCTTCTCGAAACGGTGCGAGGACCTCCAAAGCCGATATACTACACCGTGGTTCATTACAGCAGCTGCATTACTCGGTACATACGCGACGCGTCATTACTTTTATTAGCATAATGACAGGCGAACAACTCAATTTGCATGGAAAATCACATAGGTCCGTAACGAAGTTCGCCCGCGGATCCGTGATCGTCCTTCCACTCCGTCCTCCGTTGTAATAAAGCCTCTCCAAGCGTTCTCGTACACCGATGGCCCGACACACGTATCGACCAAGTGGGCTGGTGTGCGTGCGTGCGTGCGTGCGTGTGTGTGTGTGTGTGTGTGTGTGTGTGTATACCTTGAAAAACATTTGTTAAAGTAGCGAAAGGGTGCGAAAGAGAGAGGTAACGTCTCTAAGGCAGACTCACTTGGTCGTTCAGGGCCCGGTTGTTGCTATCTCCCTTCTCTCAGATGGATAATTCCGTATCATCATCGAAATTGCAGTCGATCGTCATCCGGCTGCTCGTCGATCAGCGTCCTTCGCCTCGGAAAGTTGATTGAGAGTCGGCGGGGATCGTTTGCCACCGATCGATTCGTCCCATTCGATAATTGGCGTCGGTAATGAGGCCGTGGATTACTTGGTAATCTGTACGCGGCTCTCCTACGAGAAAAAACGAGAATCGAGTCGTTAATAATATCGTTCTTCCGATTCGATGAACTTGATCTGGAAACGTGCCTTCCGATGTGTCAATTGGACAAGTCTCCAAGACCTGTTCCAGGATCAAACAGCGTTTAGATGTTGGCAAGACTGTCGAGGCATGAGTGTTCTTGTCCGATTACTTGAAATTTTTGGTATCGAGAAAATATGCGAATATGTAATCGCATGATTAATGTGGTTACGCGATGTTTAAAAGTTTTGAAAAATATAATGGTTCCGTGAAATAATGATGTTCTATTCGTTGACTTCGCTGCAAATAAATATAGTGGTATCCTGATCTAAATTTATTCGTAATATATCAATAAATTCCCGATTTTAAGTAAAAATTTCTTTAATTACCTGTAATTAATAAAAAGTAAATAAGCAATATATAGAATTACGTATATTACTGCTATATAGAATAAGAATTTAACTATAATAGTATAAAAAATACTTAGAAACAAGTATATTACTGCTATATACAATAACCAATTAGCTATCATACTGTAAAAACTTTAATTTTTTCCAATGATATTTATTATTTAACACTTATTATATACACGTAATATCGTTCTAGGTTATACAGATAGTTCTATTGTTAATAATTTTTTCGATATTGTCGCAAAAGAGGAAAGTATCGTACGTAAAATTTTCCCAACGGTTAATAATGTAAAAACATAATCATTACTCACCATAACCTCACCACGATATCGTGTCATAATTTTTCGAAATCTTGTCAGACCCAAAACTTTTAAAACGACGAATCCACGAAAAACACGTTGTTTGACACCATGTTTACACGACATTACCGAGAGTATTAACGCGAAAGAGGGCGCTAAACTTAAACCCGAAACACGAAGAGTGAATTGAGTTGCGCGCCCTCGTACGACCGCCTTCGGTGGTTGTCGATTTGCTTTATGAATCGATTCCTATCGCTAATAACAGAGATCGCACTTATCTGTCGATCGCCGGTTGATCACCTTGCGTGGTCAGGCCCGCGTGAATGGCTTTAGATTCCTAATTTCGTTGCCGTGCCTCATTAAAGCGGTGCAATCTCTGCCCCGATATCGATCTCGCGAAAAATTATGTAAATAGGGCGGCTACACCGGCCGACTAACGTAAAATATGCGGAAAGAATAAATTTTTCACGCGACGGATAATTGGGACGAGGAACTATGTAAGATAAACGAGCACGGTATAAAAATTCTTTCGTAGTTGTCGTGTTTTACTTTCTACCGATTTGTCTTTGTCTCGTTTAATTAAGAATTTTTTTTTTTTTTTTATATATATTTTTCGTTTCGGTGAAAATTCTTTTACAGTCCGATTACGCCCAATGCACTTTCTATCGATTTATCTTCGTCGTATAAATTTCAAGCTTATAGGTTAGGATCTTGTTCTTGTTGTTGATATCGATAGATCATTTCTTCCAAATCTTTTTATATGTCTTAAGCTTATAGGTTAGGATCATTTCTTCCAAATCTTTTTATATGTTCTTTTATATGTTCAAGATAAGATCTTTTTCCGCAAATTCTCGAAAATTCACTATTCTTCTCAATGTTTTCGAAATTAGGAAAAAGAAGATATATCGATCAATTTTTTTTTCTTTTAAACCAATCACTCACTTTCAACGTTCACGACGATCAGAGATCCATGGCCTCTGATTCGAGCTGACGCTCACGACGTTCGATACGTATCTCCTCGCGAAATATTATGTAAATAGAGGCGCGCGTTAAACGGGGCACGATCTAGGAAAGAGGACCTGAGGGACGGTGCACGTATCCGCGAGACCGGATGCCGGTTGAATAAAAAGCGCATAAAGTAACATTTAGCGCACGCTTAAACGAAATTGCTGTAATCGTACGGTGGCGTGGCGGTCGAGGTACTGCGCGAGAGGAAGAGGCTTTGCGTAGGGAAGAGGAAGGGGTTCAGGAGGGTGGATGCAGCGTATTAACATACCGATTTACATAATTCGAGTAATTATGAAGGGAAATATACACAATTTAATATAATGGTGGATGTTTAGGGGCCAACGCCATATCTGCCACGAGAGATCTCGCGCAACTGGACCCTCTGGTGCTGCCCTCTTTCCTTTCATGTACCATTGTATATATAATATACAATTTGTTTATTTTTAACAGGTTTAATTTGGAATTTATGCGTAGAAGAATTTGTGTATTTTAACCGACTATTTTATACTAATTGGAAAATGTATAATAAACGAATAGGCTTTGAATAAGGCTTTAAATAATGAACTAACTATTTAATTACCCGATGTCTGTCTCTCGTCTATCTCAATGTTGCTCTTCCCTTTCACGTACTATTGTCATAGAAGTATTTCGTATTTATTTCAGAATTTATGTATAAAAAAATTTATAATCGTAAAATTAGTTAGAAAATATATTGCTGAAACGATGAAAGAGAATTTCTTTTATCGTTTAAATAATAAAATTGGCTTGAAATTCGATCGAACATAAATCCATCAGTGATATTAATTGTATTTGATTTTAATTAAACTTAATTATTGCCGTTAAATTTTAATCTCTCAATCACTTAACGTCCATCTAAAAATTTATTCACCTTTTATTTTTATTTATTACGATCTGAATAATATTACTTGATATGCAAAATATATGTTAAAATATGAGATTACAATGTATTTTTACATTTTGATAAGACTTAAATACCATTATTAAAAATCGACCAGAGGATATCGTGCCTATGCATATGCATGGACGAGTGCACGAGGCAATTCTCAACGAAGAAGATACCGATGAACGATGCAGCTGTGGATAGTCGTTATGTCACGTCTTATAAATTCCATCATCGGTGGGAATAGACGAGACAGTTTGGCTGGAGGGGAAAGATAGTTGGTAGATCGTGTGTAGGAAGTTAGATGTCGATATGGATTCTCGTTCGCATACCTTTCACGTCATTTCTTCCGATGTGGAGATTGGCTTGAATTTGATTTTTGATTCGAGCTCCAATCTGCCAAGTTTAATTAATTAACTTTTCATTTTTCTAAGATGGCAGCCTCGCGTCGTGCTGTACAATTTTATACACAGCGAAATATAAATATTATCTGTCTTTATATTTTTTTTTTAAATTTTATTCAATCAAAATAACTAAGGGGACTAAGTCGATAAAATTTTTTTTTTTTGATGACGATGCAGGATGCAAAATGGAAAGAGGTTAGGTACACGACGATTCTGTCCCAAACGGGGGTGAATAAAATAAGGGAAGGAAATCCGGATTTCTCGTGTGAAAACATAAATTAAAATAGCCTGAAATCGAGGATAGTATCCATCAATGTCTGGCAGGTAGCGAAGGGAGGCGCGAAAATGCCTCGTCATTAACCAGGAACAGGCCACTTTTCGGGGAAGGTAAGATGGGTCGAAACGGGCAATTTGCTCGCCGCGTACGAAACTGCTCCTAAACACCTTGAAACCTTAAACGTTTCTTAGTCTGTTTTCTCGCTCTGTAGACCTACTCGTTAAACGCTCTTACCGATTCCACGCCCGGACACCGACTCGGTCATTTCTCTTCCAATGCGAAATTTGAATATTTTTTTTTTTTTTTAACGGTGTTTGGAAACACACGGTTTCGAGATCGAATTACAGATCACAGGATTTTAGAATCCTATCTCTGTTAGAAATTAATTCTCTCTCCTAAAAATCTAAACCTAAGTAATCAGTTTTTCATATTTTCCATTTTTAATTCATCAATATATAATTTTAATTCATCAATATAATTTTAATTCATCAATATATAATTTTAATTCATCAATATAATTTTAATTCATCGTCATAATTTTAATTCATCAATATCAAAGTTTTCGAGTTATAGAATTTAAAAATTCTAGAATTTTGCACTTTTAAACGTGAGTCGAGTCTCCCAATTCCGTGATTTCCAAAGTTGTTCAAAGTTAATTTTAAAATTTTCAAATTTCCAAAATTTCAAAGTTTCTCGAAAGGATTTAAAGCTTGACAAAATTCCTTCGAAAATAAAAATCGACATCTTTATCCTCGCTCTCGATTGTTAATCAAAAAGTCTCTCTGGACGCTGTAAAACAGCGCCACGGTATTTTTCCTGGTTAAATTGAATCGAAGGCCCTCCCCCTCCTCGAAAACTTTCCTCGTCGAATCGTGGCAGGCGAAAGTGGCACCGAGGACCCCACGCGAGGCACTAACGAGACAGTCGGTGTTTATCGGCCGACCCGTGGTCCAGGCCACGTTTATACGCCGGTCTCACTCCAATTAGCGCTACAGCCGGGGCTAATTGCTCGATATAAATCGCCGCGAGTTAAAAAAGCCGGCCGAATAATTAGACGGAAGGGCGGCCGCAGGTGCGCGTCTCCTTCGAGGAGGCGCATTACCAGCTGGTACGCTCGAGAGTTCGGAGGACGAGTCACGTGATGCGCGCGCATAACGAGAGGACGGAGAGGCAGGGTTGCCAACTCGAGCCAGCTCGATCGATCAATTTTCGCTTGGAGATATCGATTGTTTTAAAATTAATCGGATGCTTGGTAAAAAGTGATTTATTATTAATTTTAGGGAGGATAAATAAGTTTGGAAAAGATTGAAAAATGAAATGTGAAATATAGTTGCATTGGGAGGAGGTTAAAATATTTATCTCCGGCGTATAATTGTACGTCATGTTTCGAGAGATGCGAAAGTGTCGAGTGAAAAATTGGAAAGGTGGCAGCCTTGGGGAGAGGCATGCCATTCGTCGTTCCCTTTTCTCCGGCATGTGTGTGCATACGACGAACCGATTACACCGTTTCATGCTAATAGAGCCTATTAGAGGGGTCCACTGTTCGCATGACAATCCACGAGTCGTGTAATCTAAATGTCAATCTCGATAGAGAAAGGTCGTTATCACGACTTTTCCATCGATCGTATAACTCGGTGAACGGGATATTTTCGATCGAGATCTTTGTCCCATTTTCGATCGTAGTTGGCCGGATAAATATCGACTTGTTTCGAATTAATCATCGCGTTTTCGCTCGCAATTATTTTTTTTTTTTTTTCTCAATTTTACTTCAACAATCGACGAAAAGAAAAGTATTTCTTTCGAAAAATTCTTCGTATTATTCCTAATAAAAAAATTCGAATATAAATGAAAACTCATCGATGTTACATCGAGATTACCGATTAGCAATTATAAAACTGCTGTCGAGAGCCACCGCCACCGCGAACATGTGTCTGCCCGCTATACCAACCCCCGACGTGGTTTCCTCGACGTGGCACACGCACGCACGCACGAGCCGCCCCCGTGCAAACACTCGCGTACACGCCTGCGTGCCTCGCAACTTCTGAATAATTTGACATGTTGTCGTACACGTTATTATTCAGATAGACGTCGAGATACACCGCCTCCTTCAAATCCAGTTCTCTCCTTCGAGTGAGCTCGAGTTAAATCTCCCTTCGAGAGTAAAGTCAAAAATAATCCATTTTTAATTCGTGATCATTAAAGAAGATTAATTTATTCCTTCTCTTTATACGGAGTTTTTATTATATGCAGATTAATAAAATAATATATAAAAAAAAATGTATAATATAATAATTAATTTCTTAAAAAAAAAATCGAAATATAATTACTATTAAAATAGACGCCAATTGGAATCGAAATCTTGTGCATAAATGTTGATATAAAAAAAGAAAAAGGATTGGCAAGGAAAATAGGTAAAAATGATAACTGGGTCGAGTAGCGACCTCTCTCTCTCTCTCGAGCGACAATTAAATCACAGGTACCGTTTGATCGTGACGGATCGAGGCGCTCCTCTTCCCTACTTTGCCTTGGAAATTCCCTCCAACGTTTTCCACGCGAACTGTTCGTGCCAAATAGCCGCACACTATCCATGCTCGCGGCAAAAAAAAGTGACGTTAATAGCGGCTCGTATCGTATCCGTACGCCCGACGTAATCCTCGATTGCCGCCTGTCAACGTTTCGTCCGCCTCTGTACGTACGATTATTATATACTCACGAGCCCCTTTTAACTCGTCGGCTAACGACACTCGCCGCTGTGGACACACAGCAGTCGATCGTTTTATTCGAGTTGAATGTCTCTTTTATATATAAGTAGGGACTCGATGTCCCTTGATGATGATTGCTTGTTAATTTCGTTGGTTTTTTTTCTCTCTCTCTCTCTGTTTCATGACACCACGATACACGCCCTCTCTTGTGGACGGGACGAACGACGGACGGACGGATGGATGGATGGATGGATGGATGGCTGTTTCACGTGCCTGCCCGCTGCAGTATGTAAGTAATCGATGTTTTTGTGCTTTGCTTTTTATTTTGACAGATAAAGATTATCGAATCTTGATTATATATATTCTTTTCTTTTTTTGAATATTTTAATACAATTTTTTTAATGACTGAATAATTAGTTAATCTAATAAACGAATTATTAGTTAGATATCCTGAGTTTGAGGATTAAAAATTCTCAAGATGATAAGGATAAAAGCGCTATCCGTACGCCATTTTAGTTTTTATCCAGTTGCGTAATTGACGAGTTTCGTGTCGAAGCGAGGGATCGAGCACGTTTGATACATCTATAAATGTAATAATATACGTGTAATATATTCCAGGTATTCGGTATTTCGCGTTACACCGCGATGTCGATTAAGATCGGCCGATAAGATGAAACGAAACATCCAGTTACTTAATTCTTTTCGCGAGAGATCATCATTTACGCACGCCCCTTAACATTACACTCGACGATTCATGCTTATCTAACCTAGCTAATGATCTCTGCCTATCCACTAATATTTTCACTCAGCTTTCCCGGTCACGTCGGTTCAAGCGGCTAAAGTTACGTCGCATGTACACTGCCTGCTAAAAGTTTGAAATCGTTAACAAGTTTCATAAATTCACAATTATACTTAGTAATATTAATTTATCATTCGATATAACTGCAATTGAAAAAACATATATATATATATATATTTTAATATTCTCGAAGATTACAGATTATTCGATCGGTGTTTTCGTGAATTCGTGAGAACGATCAAAATTCGAGCAATTTTCTCGAAATGATCCAATTACCAGTGGATCGAGGCCGATTCGACTTTACCGACGGTACATAAACGATTCTACGAGGTTGGATCTCGCGTTGCTTCCAAGTTCGGGGTCCGATTTCCCGCGGAGAGCACGCAGTTCCGTTTTTGCACGAATGGGGCGGAGGGGCAGGGAGGGGGAAGGAGTAGGAGAGGAACGGTAGGTTAGCTCGGTAGGTTTCAATTACGCGGCCGTGTCGGCCTGTCTGATGTTGCTGCCGCCCTCATTATGTGGAATATGAGCTCGTGCTGGCTCGTTCCCTCCCGTCCGTCGATCGATCCATCCTGTACATCTATGAATCTGTGCCTCTCGAAAATCGACGTCGAATTAATTAAAATACTCGTCACAGAGATAGAGATAATCGAGGAAGGAATCGAGATTAATTTCGAGCGATTTTTATTTGGTAATTTTCGCGTTTTAATTTTATTTTGAAATTCGGGAGAAGTTTTAGATTGGATGGGAAGGTCGATAATACGACACTGTACGTGGTTGCATACGTACAGGCGCCTCTTTAAATTGCTTCCAACGTTGGTGAGGAATTAGAATTAGGTTGGCTGCACTGTTAACGGTTCGTGCTAGGAAACTATTTAAAAGATTAACGAGACTTGGGAAAATTTGTACTCTCGTATTTTTTTTTCTTTTTTCTTTTTTCTTTCTTTTTTTTTTTTTTTGTTAAATAAGATTAAAGTCAATCCTGTTGTCCAGCTGTGTGCAGCACTACGGTCGCCTACAGTGTCAACG